GAAGAGACAACAAACAATTGTTTCTCATTCTCCATGCTTCTTGTGATTTTATAGACCTTTATTATATCCCTTTTCACATGACAGGATTATTGCTGTCTCTAGCAGTCAAGACTGGCATGTACCCTGTGTTCATACAATGTCATAATGATATTTTCTTCTAGCACAGTCTGGGAATAGGGAGCCCTTTTGACCTAGTGAGCAAATAGAAATATAAGAGCTCACCACATGTTTCATATAGTATGGTTTACATGGCTACGACCGGGATGCTGGAGGAGCTGCTGGGGGCATGAGTATTCCCTGCCATCAGTAGCTTAGTAGCCAGAATTGGCATGCTTTTGCGTACTTCCCTGTAGCATCCTTTGGCTATTAGGTACATTGGTGAAGAGTCAAAGAATTTCGAAAATGTGGTATTGAAACCAAGCAGCACATTGGCTTACTTCCAGGCCTCAAAAAAGAAGCAAGAAATGATACTGCCATCCACAAGAGGTCATTCTGTCTTTACACCCAGCACAGAGATCCTGGAGACTGTTGCAGAGAGGGTGAAATGCAGCTGTGCGGGAGCTGGGGGTAGTAAGGAAGCATGGGCTGCTCCAGGTTTATGTATGGATCCTGCAGGGTTGGCGTTTTTGGTGGGGGCTTTTTTTGCAGGGGGAGGGGGGAGGGAAAGGGCAAGGAACAGAAAGGCTCGTTATGTACTGGAAATGGGGAGCTGCCTGTCTGCTTATTGCTCTAAGTTGAGAGACTAGAAAATGATGCTGGCCACGGTTTTGGCTCTCTTGACATCTGTGTCATCAGCTACATATGCCAGTGGAAACTTGGGGAGAAAAATATCTGATGTGCTTGACGTCCTTGCTTCACGTGGCTTAAACAACATGTGAGCAAGGTGAAACACGGTAGAGAACTGGGGGGAAAGGGGAAGGGAGGATTATGTCTGTTCCTCGAGCAAATCTACTTTGAACGGGGAAGCTCTGATAGGTGCCCAGTAAGGCTGAAAAGACTCTCACTGACTGAGCCCAATAGGCTCTGGCGCACAGGTCAGTGACATTTCTCGGCCTGAAAGTTAATTTTGATCATCCCATCCGGGCAGGTCAGAGGTCTGGGGTTGGGGCTGAATGCCCTCAACCTCCACCACTCGAAACCTCCTAGGAAGTGATCCTCTAGCATTTAAGCTGTAGATAGGAACAGACTCACCAACCGGATTTGGGAGACGTGGAAGACTGTTGTGAAACGTGTGAGGCAAGGCAGACAGGTATCTAGGAAGCTGACTTGTGGGTCGCTAGATGGTGCTGTTGATCTTGAAATGAGAACAGAGAGCTCTGACACCAGGAAATCTCTCTCCTGGACCTTGCACCCAGAACATCGGTCCAAAGTGATGGCTGATGGAAGTGCCTTTCATGCTTCCAGAACGTCATATGAACCTAAACATCAGGCTCTGCAAGGGAGGCTGTATTGGCCAAAGGGGTACAACAAACAGAGGAAAATCAGAAATTTGGCAAGCACGTGCCAAGTGGCCACACCTGACGGCCTTAGCTCTGCCCTTCCCAGAGCTGGCGGGAGCCACAGGGCGTGCGGGAAGAATATTTTAAAGCTTAGGCTGCTTAAGAAGTAGATGTGACGAGTGACCACCACAACAGGCCGGTTTATGTGGAGCGTTGCGTTTTCTCTTCCATCTCTGCAGCCTTCCCTGCTGCCCGAGGCCAGGATTGCCTGTCGGTGGTCAGCACCGCTCGGGCCCGTCTGCCCTGCTGCAGAACACCATTTCTGACCGAGTTCAGAGGGTTTAAGAAGCGGAGGAGTGTTTCTGCTGGGGGCTGGCAGCCGACTTGAAAGCAGGGCATATTCCTGTGGGAAGTGTTTCAGAAAAGCCCACGGGGCAGGGACGTCTGGCGTCATTGGGGCAGAGGAGCTGAAACGGCTACGCCCAGGGCTGCCTTGCCGCCTTCACGTGCACGGGGCCGGCTGAGCTCTTTCGTGCGGCGTTGTTTCCTGAGACATCTCAGCCCCATCAAACCCAGCCTTTCGCCACTCCTTCCACTCCAGCCCTGTGGCTCAAGCAGCAGGGCGCAGAAAGCTTCAAAGTACGCCGATTTTAAGAGCATGTTGAAATAACACCTGTGGGACAGAGAGGGCCATTTTTTTCCAGGCAAAAGTTTCAAGAAAAAAGTGCAGGCAGAGAGTAACCTGTGCATAAGACGTTCCCTGGATTCAGGGTTCCTGCAGAGGAAACGGTGCCTGGGAACGCTGAGAAGATGCTTGATCCAAAATGTTGCTGGAAATGGCATGCAGTGCGCATACCACGGAAGCTGCTAGAAATCAGGATATCTTCTGATTACATCCAGCTTGAGGAGCTAGAGATCCTCATTTGATAAGGACTGACCTGAATACCAGAAAGATCTGGTGAAAATGTTCAGGATACTGTTTCCTGTGATTTTTATGTGGGACACAGATTCTCCCTGTTTTTCAAGATGTGGCCCTAAGCCATGTCCAGCATAAAGGCAGGCAAGCAAAGAGACAGCTCTTGCCCTTCGTCCTTACTTTAGGTCGTATAACTCAATGGAAGAAGCATCTCTCCTGCACCCTGTCTTCTTTCCTCCCTCCCTCCCCAAAATGTGTCCATGCTAAGCCAGATGCTCCTAATATCTGACTCCTGTGACACCCAGAGCCCAGATCCTAGTACGTATGTTGGTCTGAGCCTTGTTGATGTGGTCCAAGTCACTACAAAAACCCAACTTTCGCTCGTCACTATTGCGAACGACTAGCTGAGATCATGGGCAGGATGGTGCATTTGGGGATGAGTAGAGCCACGTTTGAAACTCAGCTGTGTGCAAAAATAGTAGCTGTCAATTTTGATGTCACTTTTTTAAAGGGACCTTAACTCAGATACCCTTTGCTGTATTAGTTCTAAATGAGAGCTAATTATTCCATACTCAAGGCTTGATCATTCATACCAAACACGTAAATTCTTTGTCTGTTCTTATGACCTTTACAATGTTTAAGGGGAGGAAAAAAAAAATTACCCAACAAACTTCAAGCTGTCTCAAGTTTTACTGTTGCAGTGCTAACACCTGGTGTAAATTGTATGTATAATTCAGTTTCCTATCACTATACAATCCCGAGTGCCTTCCTTTGTGGACATCCTGGGTTGTCTATCATTCCTCCTGCTTAGGGATGAAACTCTGAAATAGGGTCTTAACATGATGAGAAGGATGCCTTAAAAGCTATACACATGACTACAGAAGAGATGGAGCAGTATCAGCGTGCTCTGTCATTGGCATGTAGATCTAGTCATCAGCCTCCCTTGGCTTTCCTCCCAGTACGCAACTTCCTCCAATGCCGAAGGATCTTCTGGTGCAGGCCGTCACACCGCTCTGTACATCTGATGTTTTACAGGCAAGGCAGGAGATGGAGCAGTATAGTAAATGGCCATCATACGAACGGTGTATTAAAGAACGGACAGTATATTAAACAAGGACGATGAAGAGAACTTCCAGTGGCCACTCATAGCAGGATCAGAGGTGAAAAGAAGACTGCAGGTAAGAAAGCCATCAGATAAGGATGGTCTTCCGTCTGATTTATTTGCCCCAAACCGGCTGCAAAACCACCTGCAAGTAGAGGGAAATTATAACCCTGAGGCATAAGTCTTCCCAGAGCAACCCTGCGGGGCAAGGCAGCTCCCGCTTGTAGCACACGTCAGTGTTTAAGGCACGGTTTGGGCTGATGCCCTGACATGCTCCGACAGCTTAGAGGATACTGCTCTTGCCGATACTGCTTCCAGCGGGCAACGCTCCAGTCCTGCTGCCAGGTACCGTGTTTCCTTCCACGCCGGGTACAGGGCAAGGTGAGCTGCTCAATAACTGACTGCGACAGCAAGCACTCTACGTGGAGAATTTGCTTCTGATCGCTTACTGTCATCCTAGGAGGGTTGGTGCGCTACTCATGAGAGGGAGAAGATTGGTAGTCGCGGAATACACTGGTTTACCTGTTACTGAAGGTAAGGAGAATCTGATTTTTAAAAAACAAAGCAGTGCAACCATTGTACTCTTTCAAAAACACAACAAAATGCTTCATCAGCCTTAATTTTAGCTTGTTTTTACAGAACCTGTATTTTATGCAAAATTTTAGTTTTAGTGCTCTTTAACGCAAGTTGCAGAGTGTCTGCAAAAGAACTTGTAGCGCTCCAAAATTAAATGAAGAGGATGCCGAGGTGCTGGCAGTAGTAACAATCATTTAAAGCAAACTAAAAATACTGTCATACTAACGATAACTATCTTGGGCTTTCCTTGTGCAACCCCTTTTTGCCCCAACCTGATTATTATAACTAGCCGGTAGTTGTTTCAGGTTAAGTTGAAAGATTTGGATTTTCAAGTTTCAAAGTGCATTCTGCTTCTTGATTTCAAGGAAGGGCAAGGGCTTTGATGCCTTTTAGAAATTTGGCCCTGAGTTTTCCAGGGGCAGAAATTACTAGCTACTGAAAGGAGGAAGCATCCTGTGAAGGGAGTATGTGGCAATATAGCTGAAGGTTGTATCGTTATGTCAGGGTGTCAGTTAAGGCTGCATAAGAAATCTTAATTCTGCCTGTAACTTCTGACTGCTTGGCTGTGCAACTGTCCTGTGGCTGTAACACGGTTTACAATGCCATTTCCTAAAAGGTTACTAAAAAGAGGATTTTATTAAGGGTAACTACGTTGACTCCGATTTCTGCCTCAGTCCTCCCTGTACAGCTATTTCTAAATCACTTTTCAGCTACGCTGAGTATCACATAGTGCAGACTCAAGCAGAGTGAAATGATCGATATTGTAATGGACTTCTCGTCGTAGTACATGACAGAAATAATAAATGTCATGATATATGACAATCCTTGTAAAGCCCTATGGAGCCAAACGGGACGCAGAAAGCATCTATCTTCCACTTCCTACCCTTGTTTTGCCTCTCTGTGTCTGTTCTTTGTTTCCTCCCACATTTATTTCCTTGGTAATGGAAAACTGTAATTGAATTAAAAGCGCCTCTGCCCGCGCAAGGGCTGCCATGGCTGCGCCGTTCGCCTTCGACAGGACGGGGTGGAGGCCTGCGAGCGCGGGCTGCCCTGCGAGCTGCCGAGTGCTGCGCCCAGCAGGTTTCCAGCTGGTTTGCACAAGCAGTCGGGTACCGCCGTTGGCACTACATCAGGTAAGCGCACGTGCAAACGGCTGCAGCCTCTTTTGCTGTCGCTGTGCGTTATTCACCCGTCCACTCCAGTCTGTTTGCCATTGAGATCGGGCCAAAACTACGTTTTAAATTTTGATACCGGTTCCGATTTTCAAGCCAAATCAAACAAACGTCTTATCTGTGTCAGTACAGCTCCTCTTGGCTGAAACAGCTGATCAAATAGTGATGCCTGTGCTCTGCCAGTGATACCAGCTGCCACACTCGATGAGCTTTTCTGCCTCTGCTGCTTCGCAGATGCCTGCACCTTCCCTATCCGGGACTGCCAAACTGCCACTCTTCCTACGTTAAAGTCCACCCTTAGAATTAATTGCTTCTAAAAGATAATAAGAAATGAACCAAACTAAAGGTCAGAAAATGAAATAAGCACTGTTCCCTCTCTCGTTTCCTAAGGAGATTTTAAGAGGAGTAAATTGGAAGGATTGTCCGTGATGCTTTTGTGATCGCTCTGTTCTTATCCCGAAAACTGACTCGGGTGTGCTGTTTGAGCCACGTTCAGCTGAATGCCAGAGGTCTCAGATTCCTGCAAGTTCCATACAAACGGCTGGCTGAGCACAGGTGAGGGAAACGGTCTTTTTTTGGACCTGCAGAAAAAAGTGAGTTCATCTCTAGACACTAGAGAAACCACACAGTACAGAGTGGTTTGAAGTGCCCTAATCAGGAAGTTTCTGGGGGAGATGCCACCTTATCAGACACCAGCTGGGAAACACAAGTCCCTAGGAAAGCAACCTGCATCAGTTCTTCTGTCCACAGACAGCTTGTTCTGTTTATCTTTTGATACTTGGGCCCTTTTTAAGATTAGAGTTTTTCCGTACCGTCGTGAGGGCTGTCTCTCTGTTTGGAATTCACCTCCTGGCTTTAATCTCAGGATGCTGATAATGGGAGCTTTACCCCCAAAATTATTACTCCTAGTAAAAACTCAAGAGTGGCAACACTGCATCTTCGGCGTGGCAGTTCTTCAGTCTGCTGTGCCATGGTAGCAGAGGCCACGAAGAAGGCTACTTCCTTCTAATACCAAGCCACGAACTTAGAAATGACAGGGAAAAGACTGTATTGTCCTTGAAATCTTTCTCCACCTCCCTGAGGATTTATGCTCCTTCAACACCTTTTCTTTGGCTTTGTTACCAATTTAAAGAAACTGTGCCTCCTCGTGGAGAACCTTCCCTGTTTTCATTCACCATCTATCTCCTAATGAACGCTTAAACAAAATTATAAGATTAGACACGACTGTGGACTGCCCTTATCTTACATTCATACAGAGCAAAGCATCTCCCTGGTGTTTATGTTTTCAAACACTTGTCTTCATCCTTTCCCTCCTGATGTTAAAAATGTCTCTCAAGCTCTTAAATTTGGCATTGTAATAGAAAACAGATGCAAACCTAACTAATTAAGTCTTACTTGTACCAAACTTAACTAATTAAGTCTTACTTGTACCAGATCAGTGATATGTTAGATAATTCTGCATTTCCATGTCCGTGTAATGAGATATGTTGATCGGGCGCACTTACGTTCTCTTAACTGTTACCTGCAGTTGCCTCAGGAGCGTTCATGGTGTGTCCCGTGGCACATTCAGAGGCGAACACTGTTGCACGTGGCAAACGCGACTGTAGGGTACAATGAGCTGCGTGGGCCAGTGAACTCTTAGGAAACAAAGATGCAGCAGGGAAGGAAAAACTACTTGTGAAAAAGAATACATCAAGAGGAACGCAGAATATGGGCCGAAGCAAAATGCAGTGCCCCACACCTGTTATAGAAGTGTCCATGCTCCTGTCACCTCTTCCCTGTTCCCAGCATGAGTTCCCCATTAACAGATGCATCTGGCTTAAAGTCTTTGCCCTGATACAGTTCTTTTTTTTCTGACACGAACTTAGTGTCTGGAGAGATGATTCTGGTCCCATACCCACAATATCCACATACATGTTCCACTGGAACAATAAACCTGTTATGCAACTCAGGAATGCTCACAGAGCTTTCGTAGGAGCTGAAACCAGGCTCAAAACAGGGCAAAACTTTGTTTTGACTTGACATCCACCAGTGTGTTATTTCTCTGTCTATATATGATGCACAGTTTGCAAATTAACTAATGTTTCTACTGTAGGATGCAAAAGAAGAAAGAGAAATAAAAATGACTGTTAGTTTCTCTGGTTTTGCTTAAAAGCCCTTAATTGTCACATCCTACAACTGTGCCACCATGTATTTAAATAAAGAGTAAGAGCTGGTAGGAAATTGAGAAGAGAAACAGAAAAAAAACCCCATAATTTTTACTTGTATCAGCATTTCCAAATCAGCTGTAGCTAGCATTTGTTAGTTACTGCACCGTAGCAAACTAGCCCTCCCTTAACGTGACTTGGGGGTGCTGCGTTGAGCAGGGTGTTGGACCAGATGATGCCAGAGGTCTCTTCCCAACTAAACCATTCTGATTCTAGAAGAGGGTGCTCACAGTGACCTCCCAGGGCCCAAATCTCCCATCCTCAGTCACAGGGTAAAAAGCACGACTATCTACGCTTGTACCTTTTTTTTTTTTCCACACAGAAGCTGATTTCATTCTTACTGTTATTTTAGTTATCCTGTGGCAATCCACCTGACAAAACCTTAGTTTCCCCAAGCAGTTTTAATGTTAACGTGACTGTCGGGGCCTTTATCCTGGGAAGCCTGTGGCAACCTCACATTTGGAAAACAAATTGTATTCTGCACCAGAATATGAGACCTTGCATCCCAAAATAAGCTGACTGCGTACGTGCTGTAGATATATACCGTTTTTCAAAGAGGGGGCGAGCTTTGCGGGAGGCTAAGGAAGAAGGTGAACGCCACGTTTTGGCATGTAAGCGCCGCTGTAAAATAACCATGTCGATTCTTCGTTGTTTCGTTTTCTGCCTTTATGAATACTGCTGTTATGTATTACACGTTTCAGTCACTGCAGACACCCGGGCGATGTGAGGCTATATGCTTTTATCCCATCAAATGCCGGCCCCGGCGGAGCTCCCCGCACACTGCCGCCGCCGCCTGGCC